TTGTGTGCCTCGCTCCTGCTGGCTCGGAGCTTGGCTCGCGGGCACCTAGGAGTCCAGGCCTCGGCCTTAGCCGGGTTTGCCCAGTGGCTCAGGGACTCCTCTTGCCTGCGCAGGCCGCTCCCTTCTGGGCTTCTGCGCCGAGGTTTTCAAAATGGGCCTTCACGAAGGTGGTGGTTTTTAAAGTTGAAGAGAGGGGATCCTTTTGGAAAGAAAATCCAGATAAAACCTTGTCTGTTTTTATCAGGGTTCACTTTGGGGTGGGGAGCCCAGGACCCTGTAGATCAGCCTTCTCCGTTAATACTGTTCCCCTTCTGCCCTATGGGGGTTCAAGGGCCCTTCTTGCTGGTGTCTCTGTTTCAATGGACTGAGGTTTGCCAGGGTTCCAGTCTAAGCTTCTGGAGCAAGTAATGCGAAGGGGTTGCTCTGCTGGGGTGTTTGTTGATCGCCTCCTTTCTCAACACCTGCTTCTCCCTCCATCGTCCCAGGCATCCGGGTCGTTCTGGACCTCACCCCCAACTACCGGGGCCAGGACTCCTGGTTCCTCCCCACTCAGACGGGCACGGTGGCCACCAAGATAACGGTGAGTGCGCCGGCGCCTGGCCGGTGGGGGCCAGGTCCTTGGCTTGTGGGGTCCTCGCACGGCAGCCCCTGTGGTACACCCGGCCCCCCTCCCGCAGGGGCCCTGGCTCCCCCCACAGCGCACCCCCCGATGTTGCTTGTTCCTTTTGGGCGCTCCTTTTTCCTGTTTCCTCTGGCAGTGACTGTGCCGGGAAGGGAGCCTCTCAGATGCTAATCTGGGCTTGACTTTTCTCCCTTTGGGGAGAGGAATGCTTCTCAGTGGGAGTCTGTCCGGACCGGCTTCCCAGTCCTTGTTTGATGTTTTCAAGTACAGCCCGGCCTGAAGTTCTAAGCTTGGGGATCTTCCTGTGTCCGAGGCCGTGCCAAGTGTTTTCGAGATGTGTTCAATCCCGGTGTACCCACCCGAGGTCCCTACTATTATCCCCAAACTGCAGGAGGACACCCAGGTTCAGAGGGTTCCATGTGCTGGGATTTGAGGTCCAAGTAACCTTATTCTTTTTTTTTTTTTAATTTTTTTAACTTTATTGATTTTTTTATAGAGAGGAAGAGAGAGAGATAGAGAGTTAGAAACATCAATGAGAGAGTCATCGATCAGCTGCCTCTTGCACACCCCCTACTGGGGATATGCCCGTAACCAAGGTACATGCCCCTGACCAGAATCGAACCCGGGACCCTTCAGTCCCCAAGCCGATGCTCTATCCATTGAGCCAAACCTTCCTGGCAAGTAACCTTATTCTTTAACCACTGCTCTTGTAGCCAGCGGCAGGGGGAGGGGCTGTGACTGTCACCCAGGCTCCTTAGGGGACACTGGCCAGTTTGGAGCGGGCAGCACGGAAATGGAGGCGGGCCCTCACTGGCTGGCAGCCCTGGTTCTGGGGTAGGGTCTGTCCCCCCAGCATTTCTGTAGGACCCTCGGCGTCCTCCAGTCCACCCGGCAGCGCGCTGCGGGGAGGCCCTGTAAACCTCACTGACAGGGAAGGTCTCGGATGGTGACGAGATGAGATGGTAGCTCAGAGGGAAATGGAGACGCGAGGAGGGAGCGCATGGAGCAGGGAGACAAAGGGGAAAGGGCCCTGGGAACGGGGTTTCCTGTTCTGTGCTCACGCGCCAGGGCTTCAGGCCTGGGCCTGTCCCACAGAACCGGCTCTTTGTCCCAAAGCTTCATGGAACTGCCCGGGGGGTGGGGGGGTGGGGATGCTTTGCATTTCAGTCTTTCATCCTTTGGTGGCCCTGCCCAGCTCTGCCCTGGCCTGCAGCCCCGTGACCGCTCCTAGGCCTCAGGCAGGGGGAGGGAGCCACACATCTGTCGGGGGTTTTGTCTGCGTTTGAGTCCTGTCACTGCTGCGCTCTTCCTGAGCCTCGGGCATGCCTCCTGCTTCTTTGAGGCTATTTCCACATCTCTGAAACGGGTATGCCAGGACAAATAGGTGATACTTTAATCAACAAATAAATTTTTAAACATATATGTTTTATTGATTTTTCACAGAGAGGAAGGGAGAGAGAGAGATAGTTAGAAACATCAATGAGAGAGAATCATCGACCAGCTGCCTCCTGCACACCCCCTACTGGGGATGTGCCCACAACCAATGTATTGATACATGCCCTTGACCGGAATTGAACCTGGGACCTTTCAGTCCGCAGGCCAATGCTCTATCCACTGAGCCAAACTGGTTTCGGGACAATAAATACATTTAAAAAATAAATAAATAAAATGGGTATGCCAGCGCTCCACATGTGCTGAGTATTCAGTGAGGTTACGGTTATGAACACGCTTTCTCTCTTGGGCCTCCTGTGTGGTTATCAGAGGTGCAGCCATGGCCTAGAGTAGAGAAATATCACTACGAGAAGCAGTGACAGGCTAGAAGGGGAGGGACCCAGGGCTAATGCCGTTAAGATGGAGGTGGGCCGAAACCGGTTTGGCTCAATGGATAGAGCGGCTTGGGGACTGAAGGGTCCTGGGTTCGATTCCGGTCAAGGGCATGTACCTTGGTTGCGGGCATATCCCTAGTAGGGGGTGTGCAAGAGGCAGCTGATCGATGACTCTCATCGATGTTTCTAACTCTGTATCTCTCTCTCCCTTCCTCTCTGTACAAAATCAATAAAATATATTAAATAAATAAATATAAAAAAAGATGGAGGCGGTAACACCTGCAGGTGGCTGCCCGGGTCACCAGGAAGCGCCTGGCAGGCAGGCTCCGCGGGGGCGGGCGTTAGTGGGCCTCCGCAGCAGAGTGTCACTCTGTCCTCTGTCATCTCCCCCCCCCCCCGCCCGTAGGAGGCTCTGAATTTCTGGCTGCAGGCTGGCGTGGATGGGTTCCAGGTTCGGGACGTGGAGAAGCTGAAGGTGAGTGTCCTTCACTGAGAGATGGAGCCTCGGGGAGCAGGCGGGACTCGCCAGGGCGGGGAGAAGTCACCTCCGCTCTTCGCCTTGTAGAACGCGTCTCTGTTGTTGGCCGACTGGCAGAACGTCACCAAGAGCTTCAGTGAAGACAGGTGGGTGCCAGACCCCTATCCCCAACTCAGCTCCAGCAGGGCCCCCCCAGTGGAGTGCTAGGCCCTGGGAAAGGGGGGTGGTTCCTGGTTCAAATGTCTCCCTCCCTCCCTCCCTCCCTCCCTCCCTCCCTCCCAGCCTTGACCTGCTTTGCTCTCTGCAGGCTCTTGATTGCAGGAACGGGGTCCTCCAACCTGAGCGAGATCGTGAGCCTGCTCGAACCGGCGGCCAAGGACCTGCTGCTGACCAGCTCGTACCTGGCGGCCCCGCCTTTCACCGGGGGGCACGTGAAAACGCTGGTCGCCCAGTACCTGGATGCCACTCGCGGGCATTTGACCAATGACAGCCGCTGGAGCAGCTGGAGTGTGAGTGCCGCCGTGGTGGGGGCGGGCAGGGCGCCTTTCGGAGGAAGGGGTGCCGCGCGGCGGGCGGGGGGCTTCGGGGCTCACCGGTGCGCCGTTCTCCAGCTGTCCCAGGAGGGCCTCCTCACTTCCTTCGTGCCGGCCCCGCTGCTCCGACTCTACCAGCTGCTGCTCTTCACGCTGCCGGGGACCCCTGTGTTCAGCTACGGGGACGAGATCGGCCTGAAGGCAGCGGCCCTGCCCGGACAGGTATGGGCGCTGCCTTCTGGGCGCAGGGCGGGGTGGGGGGGGCTGTGTTTACCCGCCAGGATAGTCATAGATCCGAGGACAGGCCTGCCTCCGGGGGAGCTGCGCTTGGTTCCTAGCCGGTCACCTGGCCCGCAGCCATGTGGCCGCGGCAGGCGGTGTCACATCTCCACGTCCGGCCGCCTCTCTCGTAGGGCGGTTCGGATAGAGTGACGGCTGCTTTAAAATGCAGTGTCGTACGGTCGTGTTCAGTATGTTAGCCATCACTCTCTCACTCATTCAGTCCTTGGACAGTGAGCGGGCGCTCTGCTGGGCCCTCCTGGTTTAGCGGGGGAGCCAGGTGAGTGAGAGAAGGGATGGGGTCAGACCGGAAGGCACACGCTTAGCTCCAGCCGCAGGCGTGGGGTCTGACACCTGTGCTGGGATCTCATTCGTTCCCCACGTTGTGGGGGCGATCCCCGTGCTCCGTGCCCGGAAGGGCTGAGGCCTGGCAGGAGTGGCCACAGGGAACCCTGAGAGGGCCGAGCAGAGGCGGCGAGTGAGGAAGTTGGCTCGAGGCTGTTTGGGGGAGTCCCCTGGCCGAGGGGCGGGGCAGGGACTTGAGGTGGGAGCCGGCCTTGCTGCCCCCAGCAGGAGTGCGGTGTGAGGGCGGGAGGGCCTTCCGGGCCTGGGGGAGGAGAGGGGGAGCGGGCCAGCCTTCCCCACGCCCCGCTTCCCCCCTTCCAGCCTGAGCGGGCCCCGGTCATGCTGTGGGATGAGTCCAGCTCCCTCAACACCTCGGGACCTGTGAGCGCCAACATGACGGTGAAGGTACTGGTTTTGGGGCGCAGGGCCGGGCGGTGGCTTGTGGGAGTCTGAGGCAGCGGCGGTCTTCATCCCTTCCCGCTCTGTCTGCCTCCATGGATGCAGGGCCAGAGCGGAGACAGGGGCTCCCCGCTGAGCCTGTTCCGGCAGCTGAGCGACCTCCGGGGCAAGGAGCGCTCCCTGCTGCACGGCGACTTCCACGAGCTGCCCGCGGCTCCCGGCCTCTTCGCCTACGTGCGCCACTGGGACCAGAACGACCGCTACCTGGTGGTGCTCAACTTCGGGGACACGAGCCAGCCTGCCCGCCTGGCGGCCTCCAGCAGCCTGCCCGCCAGTGCCAGCCTGCCCGCCCGGGCCAGCCTGCTGCTCAGCACCCAGCCCGGCCGGGAGGAGGGTGCCTCTCTGGAGCTGGAGAACCTGAAGTTGGAGCCCCACGAGGGGCTGCTGCTCAAATTCCCCTACGTGGCCTGATCCGTGGCCTTCCCCTCCCTTCCCCTCTTCTGTCCTCCCCCTCCCCGCTTTCCTCCCCAGGCCCTTTGGGTTCTGGTTCCTCTCCTGTTTTTTTTTACTGTCACAGATTACAGATGAACCCCAATAGGGTGTTTTCTGGCTTCAAATAAAAGTTAGCCCTGCCTAATGATGTCTGTCTTCCCTCCACCTTCTGTCTCCGGCCCCCCCCCCCCCCCCCCAGCTCCCCACCGTGATCAGGGTCTGAGAGTTTCATACGTCTGCCAGCCCAGGCAGGAAGGGCCTGCCAGTCGGTGCAGGGAGGTGTCGGCTGGGGCTAGCACCCAGGCCTCCTGCCCGCTGGGCATGCTCTCCTGAGGTCTCGGTCTTGCTGACTCGCCCTCAGCAATGAGTCTGCAGCTGAGTGGGGTCAGCTTTCCTGTTTTTTGCAGACGTAGCCTTTCCAGGGATGGAGTGGTCGTGGGGCGGCCTGTTGTCTAAGAGCTGCTTCCAAAGGGCACACGAGGCCACTCGCTCAGGAGGCCTTGACTGCACACTCAGCATGTGCCAGGACGTGTTCTGGGTCCTGGGGCACAGGAGGGAACAAAGTTCAAAAGTCCCCATCGCCTTGGGGTGTATATCCTGGCGAGGCAGAATAAATGGCCCTGGCTGGTGTTGCTCAGTGGATATAGTGTCAGCCTGCAGACTGGTCCCAGGTTCGATTCTGGTCAAGGGCACATGCCTGGGTTGTGGACTCGATCCCTAGTTGGGGTGGGTGGAGGTGGGGCATGCAGGAGGCAGCCGATCAGTGATTCTCATCATTGATGTTTATCTCTCTGAAATCAATAAAAATATACGTTAAAAAAAAAGTAGGATGAATAAACTAGCTGAAACCAGTTTGGCTCAGTGGATAGAGCGGTGGCCTGCGGACTGAAGGCTCCCGGGTTCGATTTGGGCAAGGGCATGTACCTTGGTTGCGGGCACATCCCCGATAAGGGGTTGTGCAAGAGGCAGCTGATCGATGATTCTCTCTCATCGATGTTTCTAACTCTATCCCTCTCTCTTCCTCTCTGTGAATCAATAAAATATATTAAAAAAAAAAAAAGATGAATAAACTAGAGTATGGTGATAGTTGTCGAAGAAGGAAAAGTAAAGCAGAAGAGGGTGTTTGGGGTGGGAGCTAGGGAGGCCTCGCCGAGGGAGGGCCTGAAACACCTGGGCAGGTATTGGGAGGAGCGGCCTGGCACTGAGGAGGGAGGAGGGAGGAGGGCTGGTTGACCAGGGCGGTCACTCCGCAGCTGCAGCGTTGGGCAAAGGGCACAGTGAGGGCCTTCCCCCCTCAGATATCTGCTGCCAGCCTGTGACCCTCCTTGCGGGAAGGACACACGGAACTCCGGAAGCACCGAGATTTTATAGCGAGAGGGCGCCTGTTCGCACTGACCCGAGGGCGGGGTGCCAGCTCTCGGGGCAGAATCCAGCCATGAAGCTCCTCCCGGGGGGTCCAGACCCCAGGCCTGGCACATAGCACTGGCCGAGCAGGGCGCCCCAGCCTTTGGCCTCCAGGGTGTTCTTGGGGCTCACACACTGCCTGCTCTCACGGCTGACCTTCAGCCCCAGCCCCTCCCAGGAGTCCAGGCTAAAGCCTTCAGTCCTCCCGAGATAGTGTGTCCGACAGCCTCCTCATAAGTCATAGGGCCAGGCGGTCTGAAGTCCCCACGCTCAGGGCACTCGCCTGGAGATCCCGCCCAGAGCAGAGGGCAAAGGCCGACCTCCAGGCTGGATGCGTTTTTTTTTTATTTTTATTAAGTGTCTTTATTGATTTTCGAGAGAGGAAGGGAGAGGGAGAAAGAGAAACGTGGATGAGAGAGAATGTCAATTGATTGCCTCCTGCATGCCCAGCCCCCTATTGGGATCGAATTTGCACCGCAGGCCCTGACCAGAATCGAACCTGCGACCACTTAGTTCATGCATGGGCCAATGCTCAACCTCTGAGACACACCGGCTGGGCTAGTTTTTTTTAAAAAAAATATATTTTTTATTGATTTCAGAGAGAAGGGAGAGGGAGAGAGAGAAACATCCATGATGAGAATCATTGATAGGCTGCCTCCCTCACGCCCCACACTGGGGGCCGAGCCTGCAACCCGGGCCTGTGCCCTGACCAGGAACCGAACCGCGACCTCCTGGGCTGCCCAGCGGAGTTCCTCTCCACGCAGTGGCGGGGGCTGAGCCGTGGTGCGGGCTGGCGGGTTTAGCCGGCTCCCTGGCTGCTCGCTCCGCGGGAGGTTGATTGGGGTGTGGCTGCCGCTGCTCAGCAGACGCACCAGGGTGGTGGCAGGGGGGCCACCCCAAATGGTTGGGCCCCGCATTCACTTTGCTGTTGGAGCCTCCGGGGTCATCATGAGGATTGTCTGTGTGGTCCGGGTAGTTGGGGCCTCCTCACCTTACGGAGAAGAATGCTAGTTCCTGCCGAAACCGGTTTGGCTCAGTGGCCAGAGCGTCGGTCTGCGGACTGAAGGGTCCCGGGTTCGATTCCCGTCAAGGGCATGTACATTGGTTGCGGGCACATCCCCAGTGGGGGGTGTGCAGGAGGCGGCTGGTCGATGTTTCTCTCTCATCGATGTTTCTAGCTCTATCCCTCTCCCTTCCTCTCTGGGAAATCAATAAAATATATATATTTTTAAAAACAACGCTAGTTCCTGAGGGTTGGGCCGGGGCCTCTGAGGATGTCCTGGAAGAGGGAACAAGGTCAAGTCCGGCCCCGTCCTGTTTGCTCAGCGGGCGGCCGCTCTGCATCTGTGCTGAGGCTGCCTGCGGGAGGCGTGACCCGCACGTGCTCCGCGGGGCCAGCGCGATTCCCGGGAAGACACACCCCGGCCACTGGCCAGCTGGCCGCTCCCTCCGGCTGCCAGGTCTTCCCTTCTCCTCCCCCTCCTGGCTTTGGCCTCACCCAGGCCCCTATCCCGAAGGCTCCCCACCTCTTCCCTCCCGGCTCCTTCCCCAGGGCCCCAGCCCCCCGCTTTTCTCCGGGCCTGCTGGCCCCTGGGACCCACAGTTTGTAACGTGGGGTCGCTGCAGGTGGGGCCTCCTCATGACTGCTGCTTAGCAATTCACCGTGGACTTGGCCGTTGTTAATCCTCACCGATCAGTGGATACCCTCCCACGGATTTTTAGAGAGAGTGGACGGGATGGGGAGAGGCACACAGAGAGAAACACGGATGTGAGAGAGACACACGATTGGTTGCCTCCCGCATGCGCCCGGACCAGGGCCAGGGAGTGAGCCGGCAACCTAGGTACGTGGCCTTGACCAGAATTGGACCCAGGACCCTTTGGCGTGCGGGCCGATGCTCCATCCACTGAGCCAAACGAATAAGAAGTGGAAAATATACATCACAGAACTTGGCATTTTAACCATTTTCACTGCGCAGTTCAGAGGCAGTCGGTACCTGACACCGTGCGACCACCCCTCCTCCCCCCAGCACATCGTGATGCCACGAAGAGACAGTCCCCGTTGGACACCAACTCCCCCAAATTTGTATTTTAAGTGGAAAATGAATAAACCAAGAACCGAAGGACCACGGTCAGGTTTTCAGCACCGCCGGGTGGGGGGCGGGGCAGGTGAGAACGTCAGCTCAGCAGGTCCCACGCCCTGGAGTTTGAAAAAGCTGTTCCATGGCCTCGGCCAGTGTGGCTCAGTGGATAGAGCATCAGCCTGCGGACTGAAGGATCCCGGGTTTGATTCCAGTCAAGGGCACATGCCTGGGTTGATGGCTCGATCGCCAGTGGGGGGGAGGGGCAGGAGGCAACCAAGCAATGATTCTCTCTCATTATTGATGCTTCTATCTCTCTCTTCCTCTCTGAAATCAATTTAAAAAAATACATATAAAAAGAAAAGAAAAGGGAAAGCTGTCCCATGGGCTGCCTGCCCCTCACTTCCCACCGTACAGATGAAGGAAGACAGCATTGGTCACAGAGCTGTTTCCTTAGCCCCCAGCTACCCTGGGCCATGAGGGAGGGGCCAGGATGCCTGCCCCGGGGCAGCCTGAGCTGAGGGCAGGGTCCCTGAAGCGGGTGGGGGCAGCGGCAGGGGCTGGCCTTCTTCCCCTCAGGGTGTCTGAGTTGCTCTGGTCCCGGGACCGCCCTCAGCGCTCTGCCTTCCGGGAGCGAGCCCCTCCCTCCCACAGTTCCCAGCCCCGAGGACCAGGGGCTGGACTCCTAAGCGCTGAAGGCCGAGGACACTCTTCAAAGAGATGACGGGTTCAAGGAGACTCACGTTCCCCTCCACGTCATCGAGGACAAGGCGGGGGCCCAGAGAAGGAAAGGCCCCCTGGCGCCCTGGAGCTGCTGCTGGCCCCGCCCGCCCCCGTCCAGCTCCCTGGGGCACTAGCCTCTTCCCCCGGCCGCCTGAGCAGTGGGAAGTGAGGGGCAGGCAGCTCATGGGACAGCTTTTCCTTTTATATGTATTTTTAAAAATTAACTTCAGAGAGGAAGAGAGAGAGAAGTAGAAGCATCAGTGATGAGAGAGAATCATTGCTTGGTTGCCTCCTGCACGCCCCACACTGGCAATAGAGCCGTCAACCCAGGCGTGTGCCCTTGACTGGAATCAAACCTGACATTCTGCTGTTGTTGTGATGAGGGTGGTGTTGGGACAAAGGGGTCCAGGTGCTGGCCCTGCCCTGCCCGCTGATCCTGGCTTTGCTGATGGGGAGCTGTAGCAGGTGCGCCAGTACTTGCAGCCCTGAGATCAAGGCTGCGAGGCAGTCCTAGCCGGTTTGGCTCAGTGGATAGAGCACATGTGTCAAACACAAGGCCCGCGGGCCAAATCCGTCCCGCCCAGCCTTGCAATGTGGCCCGCACCGCGCTGTCATCACTGCACTCCGCTGTGTTTCCATCACAATGACAGTTTATGACTGTTCAGTAAACCATTCGGCCCGCGATTTAGGCTGGATTTTAGATTTTGGCCCCTTCTCTGATTGAGTTCGACACCCCTAGGATAGAGCATCGGCCTATGGACTGAAGGGTCCTGGGTTTGAATCAGGACAAGGACTTGCTCCCCAGAAGGGGGCTGCAGGGGGCAGGTGATCAATGATGCTCATCATTGATGTTTCAATCTCTCTCTCTCTCCTTTCCTCTCAGAAATCAATTAAAAAAAAAAAAAAGACTTGGAGGCCCCTGGGAGCAGGCCCTGGGGGACAGACAGGAAGCGTGTAATCCGGGAGAGATCGGAGAGCTGTGACCTCACTGGAGCGGAGAGAGGCGCCAGCAGGCACTTCTGCGGCCGAGGGGGCACCATGTCCGGCCCCGGGGCAGGGACGGGAGTGTGAGGGACCGGGGTGCCGTGTGGACAGTTGGGGAGCGGTGTGAGCCAGCAGCTGGCGCGGAGGGCGACCCCAGCTGTGCCTGCGCTGGCCCACTGCGTGCGGCGGCTCCCGCCTGGTCGTTCAGAACAGCCTCCCGCCGCCCTGGCCCGGCTCCGCTGGGGGGAGCACCGCCCCCCCCCGCACCACACGGCGGGGGTTTGATTCCAGGTCAGGGCACATCCCTCGGTTTCCGGTTCAATCCCCAGTCCGGGTGCGTATGGGAGGCAACAGATCCCCGTTTCTCCCTCACATCACTCTCCCCTCCCCACCTCTCTCTCTCTCTCTCTCTCT